TATGCTGCTGCTGATTATTTAAAAATGTGTTAATAAAATTTGTGACTGAACTCTTTGGAGGCATACAATTCTCCCTCCACTCTATTTTACCCGCATTCTGCTATAGAATGGAATATATGGCAGAATCTGATGACCCAGCACATTTTTGTTTTAAGAACCCTTTCACAGCATATCTGACAAAATGTAAAGAAAGGACTAACTTGACATTTCTAAAAATAGTTAAGACATATGACCCAAAGTTTAAGAATCTGAAGTGCTATCCAAAATCTGAGAGAGAAGTTGATCACGCTTCCGGAAGTCTTAAAAGAGCAACACTTCAATGCAGAAACGATAGAAGCGAACCACCAAAAAAAGAAAATCAACCTTCTGGTGGCATGTAACTCAGATGATTATAATGAACATGCATCAGTCAGCACACCTTTGTCATTACTGAGCAGAACCTGTCATCAGCATGGACACGTCTTCTGGAATGGTGTTTGAAATATGAAGGGACATACAAATCTTTAGTACATCTGATATGTTAATATCTGGTGACGTCAACTACAACAGTGCCATGTGAATACCTGTTCTCACTTTCAGGTGACGTTGTAAACAAGAAACAGACTGCACAGGACTGAATGGACTTGTAGGCTCTAAAGTTTAATATTTTATTTTTGAAAGTAGTTTTTTGTACATAATTCTACATTTGTAAGCTCAACTTTCATGCTAGAGATTGCACTACAATATTTGTATTAGGTGAGCTAAAATACTACTTTTATGATGCATATCTACTACATATTTGAGAGAGTCTGTGTGTTTTTCTGTCTGTTCAAGAACTCCTCCTAAATGGTAAGAGCTAGGACAACCAAATTTGATATATAGCTTCTTCTTTTTTATAATAACTGAAAGCAAGGTAAGTGTTTGGTTGTGCCAGGAAAATGGGATGTGCCTGGAATGGGATTGCTTCTCATAAATACACACAGAAGAGAGACAGAATTGCCATCTGGGACTGCTACAGCCCCAAATGCCCCCACCTCCATCTGCTGATGCCCGTTAGGGAGAGTGGATGGGCTGAACCTTCCTCCTCCCAATTTGTATGGGGAGATTGTTCCCTTCATTAGGGAGCAAGAGGAAAAAGCACAATTTGCTGCATTCCTCACTCTGGCTGAGGAGCTCAGGGAGCAGATGAACCTGCACCTGCCTCAGCTAGGGAACATGCACCCCTCCCCTGGCAGTGTCAGCTGGAGACGCTGCAGCCATAGATAAGTGCATCTCATCTGGCCCCAAGCTGCTGTGATGAGAGAGGGCTGTGGCAGGACAGCCTGCATACTGAACTCCTTAAACTGCAGCAAGGGAGGTTTAGGTTGGACATTAGGAAAAAGTTCCTAACTGTCAGGGTGGTTAAACACTGGAATAAATTGCCCAGGAACATTGTGGAATCTCCATCTCTGGAGATATTTAAGAGTAGGTTAGATAGGCATCTATCAGGGATGGTCTAGATAGTATTTGGTCCTGCCATGAGGGCAGGGGACTGGACTCAATGACCTCTCGAGGTCTCTTCCAGTCCTAGTATTCTATGATTCTATTCCCAGCCCCACCCCAGAGCAACGATTCAAATTAAGTGTGTACATTCATTTTATTTTCCAGAAAACAAATAATAGAGTTAAGGATCCAAGCAATGCTAGATAAATCTTCTAGTTTGTGATAAAAAATAGTGAACACTGTACTTTCTGCATTCTGCATTGTAACTGAAAATGTAGAAAACACTCAAAAGTATTGAAACAAATGGCACTCATTATTTAGCAGTATGATTAATCATGACTAGTTTCTTTAATCGCTTGCCAGTCTTAGTCTTTTTATTCAGGAAGTAATCTGGGGCTTGGTCTACACTATTAACTTATGTCAGTATAATTATATTACTCAGGAGTGTGGAAAATCCACACTGCTGAGCAACAGTTATACCAAGCTAGCCCCTTTTCTACGTAGTGTTGCCTCTTGGAGAGGTGAAGTAGCTATGCCTATAGGAGAAACTCTCCTATCGTTGTAGGTAGCATCTTCACTAAGCACTAAGTGCAGTTGCATTGGGTGACTGTACCACTGCAGAAGTGTGAGAGCAAATCTAGTAGCTCCACAGTGGTCCAAGGCAGGAGAGCACTACCTGTGGAAAGCTGCTATGGTCACCTGGAAAGATGTGATGTGAGCTCTTCATGCCGTATAAACAGGAAGTGGAATTTCAGATATTCCTGGGGCTTGAACAGGGGGAGGGCAGAAGGTTGCTTACCTGGCTGCAGGGCAGTGGAGTTGAAACGGCTGACAAGAGGCCAGTTTGAGAGATATAATTAAGTTCAGTATCTACACTGGCAAATTTGTCCATGAAAGGCCTGTGCCTCTCATTGAGAAGTCTTATTTTGTTGATGAAATTGAGTTTTGTTGCCACAGGTGGCCTTGTAGTAGGTATACCCACCCTGTTTTGTTGATTAAAATTGCCTTTTGCCAAGGGAACTTGCCAGTATAAACAAACCCTAAGTTTAGACAAGCTCCGGGACAGTAAATTTATCTCTGTAGTTTTAGCTTCAAGGATCCCTACAAAAGTTTTGCACAGTTCTAGTTTGCATGGGTTTTAAATTCATAAACACATAGCCAACTCAGTTCAAACTCCTGAATTGTGTTTTGTTTTGGCATATGAATTAAAAACACCAAAACCAGAGCTCTGTTGGACTCGGTTCACTGAAAAGTTTCTGAGCCTCTGCTAACTAGTCAAACTTTGCCTGAGTTTCCAGTTTGTATTCACCTGGCTTCATGTTTCATTACAAAAGTTTCACTCAGCTGCAGTTCAGAGGTATAACAATTAAAGTTCCCTGTGGAAGCTGGACCACCCAGAATTACAAATCAGTCCAAAAGGGAGAGTAATAGTCATAACACAGAGACATTTTGAATATGCTTTTATGAATCAGAAATGTGCAAAATCAAGGGTGGGGTTGGAGACAACTAAAGTTGTCCTCCATGTTAGATGCAGATAGTAATTTTTACATATTTTAAAATGTGTCCAATTCAGATACCTCCTGACTTTTAGGAAAGTTTGGATCCATATCCAGAGATGGGCCTGAGCCTCCAAGTCTGATTCTTCTATATTAAAACATAAGAATTGAAAATGGTTTTTATTTCAGTTAGTTCCAGCTGTGATGGTACAGAGAGCTACTTTTTAGTGAAAGGAAATCTCCTGAGTTGTGTGGAATATGCTGAAGGCCAGAGGGGAAATGTATCAGTGCAACCTTTGTTAAGATGCTTACTGGGGAGGAGAGGAGAGGGGAGCTTTTTGTCCCACTTGTAAGCGACAAAGCTTGTGGAATAGAGTTGCTGCGATGTACAGTACCACTTGTGCAGGGAATTAGGATCGAAGTAATTGTCGCTGTTATGGCTCTCTCCTGGTCCTGACAGATAGATGTCTGATAGATTGTACTTCTTCAGACAGCTCCTTTGTGGGTGGTGCATTATGTGCTCTTTCCACACAGTCTTGCTGTAGGTGAATATTACACTTAGCAAGTAAAGTGCTTGCTTAGTAACCTGATTATAAAGTGACAGATCTCACTCTTGTAATATTTTTGTTAGTGCAAGAAGCTATGTCACATGATAAAGACCTCATCTTTCAAAGGTTGAAAACAAAGATTTAAATTAATTATGTATCAGCACTGGTAACTGGGGAAGACCATCACGAGCTTACAGGTTCTACATGACAGCAATCCTTAAATCTGTAGAAGGAATCAAGATACTCTTCTTTAGAAATTCCACTTAGTTGACAAAACAGAAGCCATCAGAACAAAAAATCAGACTTGATACAATATGGTGCTGCATTGTCATTGTTCTAATTTAATTAGCTGCAGAATTAACCTATGACCTTCAATTCTTTTTTTCGTAAATCCTTCTGGAGTGGCAACCCATTTCCTTTCTTCTTTCTTGGATACTCTCAGAATGGCTGCTGCCTACATATGCTGCTTTTTACAATCAGACTGTTAAAACCTGACACTATTGAGACCTATTTTGGCCTTGAGTATCTTGCCTATCAGAAAGTTTGAACTTTGTTACCCATGCTAATCTGAGAGAGACCGATCTTCTTGTCTCTTCCTTTCAGGAATTCCTATGCCCCACTTTTTGATGCCTCCTCTTAATATATCTGTTCCATTGAGTCCTTTCCCCAAATATTTTGGTATGAATATCTAAACTCGAAGTTCTTTATATTATAACTTTACTGCTCCCCAACTAATACTCCCCATAAGTATGAGAAAATAAAAAACTTAAGTGTGTTCTTTGGTCTACATACTCCATGTTTTCCTTTGTCTGTGCTAAACTATATTAGAAGCTTAACAAAATAACAGGAAAACTTTCAAAAAGCGCATTTTAACATAAGTCTCCTTGATTCAAGAAAGTATTTAACCAGCACTTAAGAATGTGTTTAAATGTAAGCATGTCCTTAAATGATGTGCTGAATAATAATGCCTTTATAAACTGGGGCCCATCATTTTAAAGTGCCTTTTGTGATTTCCCTTTCCTGCCCTCAAACTTCCTAAAAGTTTCTAATTTGGGATAAAGTGTAGGAAAATCCAACAATATATAGCTGAACTTTGACGGGAGGTGGTAGAATCCTCATCACTGGAGGCTTTTGAAAGAACAAAGTAGACTATCAGGGATGGTCAAGGTATACTTAATCCTACCTCAGTGCAGGGGGCTAAACTTGGCCTCAACCCCTGCATACCTATGACTACATGTAAAATTCCAGGGAGACTATTCTTCTAAAATGAGGAAGCTGAAAATTGGATTTGTAATAAGAAGCAAACTTCAGTATATGCCATTGTATATGATGTAAAATATTTGGATAGAAGAACATCTGCAATTAAGATCATTTGTTGAAGAAGGTATTCGACACAACAATAGAAAGAGATATTCACCATGAGTAAAAGGTGAGCATTCAAGGAAATGCAATATATTGTATATTGAATTAGTCCCTTCTATAAGTCTTACGTTACCTGTAATCTTCTATAATGTGTAGGACATGGAATGACTTGCTTGATCATCCTAAGGCAGCAGTGGTCAAATACCAGGCTGTGGGCCAATCCGGTGTCCCAGTCTGTGCTGCTTTCCACAGCTACTATTGGCTAGTAATGGCCAACAGGAACTGCAATCGCCCGTACCTGTGGAGAGGCAGGTAAATACAGTGGCAGCTGCCTGTCAGTGGCTCACCCTGGTGAGCATTCGCCATCTTATTAACCACTCCTGTCCTAAGGAGTTGAAACTGCCTGCAACAGTCCTGCTCCTAATTTTGTGTGTGTTCCTTCTGAAAGATTATATTATGAATTTCAACACACTCTGGGTCCATTCACTACTCAGCAGTAAACTCAGACAAACATGGTAATATAGACTTTGCATAGAAATCTATCAAAGTATTTTGGCCATATTCCTTTCCTTGTATATAACAATTTTGATTGTGAAGTTTCTATGTATATTCTTAGTGAGTAAATCTTGATCCTTTTAATATTGCTTATGTTCTAAAATGGGTGTGTTCTACATCATACAAATGTCATGACAGGCAATAACAGCATGAAAGCTTAATAATTCTGTACTAATTACCTGCTGAAATAAATTAGTGTCAACGGTGTTTGGGTGAAAATGACATCATTCATGATATAATAAAATACACAAAACTATGTTTAAATAACATGAAATGTCTGGCTCAAATGAAGCCAGGAAATTCAAAGGTAATGACACTCCACCCTTAAGTTACACTGTGGGAAGTAAAAGGCATTTTATGGCTCTCATACTAGTTTTAACCATGAATGTGCTGGGGACTGTAAGATTATTTAGGACTTTAATGTTTAGTTTTCTTATAGTCTTAAAAATTAATGGAAATGTCTAAGTGTCCACATAGCATATTTAATAATAAATACCACATATAACCAGTGTGTAATGTTTCCTGGCTACATACATAATTAGTATTTGTACCAAGTACCCAAGAGTCCAGGACAGTGCCTTTCAAATCTATATGCTCAATGCATAATTAGCAAATTTTGCTACTCTAACAGTAGTGATTGTTGAAGTGATAAACATGAGAAAGTCTGAAATTCTGTAGATTTCAACAGGACTTAACATTTTTCAAATGATTGGATAGCATACTAGATTATATACCACAGATTAGGATTCCAAACTGGCCCTAGAAATAGATTAGCATATCAGCCAGAGCTTTCCCATGTCTAATAGACCCATAGAAGTTAAACATTGTTCTTCTACTGATGCCTTTTATTCTAGTTTCAGCATGAGGCTAATTTTGTGACCTTAAAAGAGAAGTTTTTAACAAATGTTGGCAGTCTGAATTTTGGTACTTCAAAGATATTCTAATAAATTGTATAAAAATAGTAACTATTATTCTTTATTGCATACCACAGATTGTTCATCTTTTACCAGCCCAGTGATAAACTTAATTTTTAACATCAGATACTTTCAGTTTCATACACTGATAGATTCCAAGGCCAGAAGGGACCACTGTGATCATCTAGTCTGACCTTCTGTTGTTGAACTTTTCCTCAACTAATTTCTAAGCATCCCTGGGTGTATTTCCACCTCAATTTAAAAATAGTCAGTGATGGAAAATCCACCACAATCTTAGATTACTCCAGTGTATTCAAAAATGTATGCTTCCTGTCTGAATTTGTCCAGTTTTAACTTCTAGCCACTGGATGATGTTTAACCTTTCTCTGCTAGATTGAAGAGCCCAATATTTATTCCTCAGGTAGATATTTCAGTCACCTTTTAATTCTCTTTAAGTCAAATAAATGACCTTATTGAGTCTATCACTAAGGTATGTTTTCTAAATCTTTAATTATACTTGTGACTCTTCTTTGAATTTTCTTCAGTTTATCATCATGCTACTTTAATGGTGGGCACCAGAACTGGACACAGTATTCCAGAATTGGTTGCACCAGCGCCAAGTACAGAAGTGAAATAACATTTCAACTCCTACTCAAAATTCCCCTCTTTATGTATCCCAGAACTGAATTAGCTGTTTTGGTCCCACCATCACATTAGGAGCTCGTTCAGCTAATTAGCCACTCCGATGCTCAAATCTTTTTCAGAGCCACTGCTTCCCAGGATAGAATCCCCCATTCTGAAAGTATGGCCTACGTTGTTTGTTCCAAACTGCATACATTTAGCCATCTTAGAACACACGTTGTTTGCTTGTGCTCAGTTTAGCAAGCAATTGAAATTGCTGTGAATCAGTGATCTATCCCAGTGTTTCTCAACCTTTTTTTAATAAAGTACCCCTTTAAAAAAATTATAAGTACCCCCAGAGCCAGGCACCCCCAGCTCACCTCCTGCACTCACCACTTCCCCAGAGCCAGGTTCCCCCAACCCCCTCCAGTTCTAACCCAATGCCCCTCCCCCAGAGTCAGGCACTGGACGTATGAAAACCCTACCTTTGAAATGCCCGCTCCCACTGCCCAACCCTGCCTCGGCATCTTGTCTGCAGGGAGCTCGCCATGTGGAGCTGTGTGCTCCCACCCTAGCCCGGCGCCCCCCCCTCACTACACCTCTGATGTAGGTGGGTCCTTTGGAGCAAAGCTTACTGTGATGGGGATGCGTTGTACTGAGCTACTGGTAGGGATGGGGGGGATGTGCGTCTCCAGATTCAGCCCCCCCCCACTGCAGCACCCTGGGGAAGCTGCCGGAGTGGAAACAAACTTGGAGAGGAGGCCATGGAAGTGATTTTTTTTTCTCCCCGCCCAAATCCGCCCCGCAACTTGGAACTGCTCTGGGGCTCACCGGAGCTGCCACCTCTGCAGCCATGCGCTTTTCCTGTCAGGCGCTGGATGTGTGCGCAGAGAGGCTGTTAACATCCTGGCATGCAGCTCTGGATGTTCAGTTTGACAGGCATGTGCCACTGCCCCCTCCCCAATCCTCTTTGCAGGGCAAAATCCCAGACATTTTTTGTCAAATTTCACTTGTGCTGAGGTACCCCCCAGACTTCTCTCGCGTACCCCTAAGAGAACGTGTACCATTGGCTGAGAAACACTGATATATCCTCTTCAAAATTTACTGCTCCCCCTCTGTCATATAACTGATAAAGCTTTCATGACTTTTTTTCCAGGTTATTGAAAAAAATTATTTAATAGCATGAGGCCAAGAATGGATCTTGAGGGACCCCACTGAAAACATATATAATTGATGATTATTTCCTGTTTAAAAAAAACCTAGAATATAAAATAACGCACACATTAAATTGAAAACTCACTAAATAAGTCTCAAAATATTGATTTAATCAAAATATCTTGTGGTACCAAGTCAAATGTCTTACAAAAGTCTAAGTATTTTATTACAGCAACACTATTATATTTATTAACCAAACTACAGTAATCTTTTTTCCCCCACCCCACAAAAGATCAAGTCCTCTTGACAAGACCTATTTTTCATAAACCCATGCTGATTTCCATTAATTACCCCCTCCTTTAATTCTTTATAAATAAAGTGCCATATCAGCTGCTCCATTATCTTGCTCAAGATTGAAGTCAGGCTTAGAGGCCTATCGTTACCTGGATCATTCAGTTTACTTTTTAAAAAATTGGCACGTTAGCTTCTCTTCTGGAATTTCCCCAGTGTTCCAATACTTATTGAAAATGGACATTACCTCATTACAGCGAGCTCCTCACTCAGCTCTCTTAAAACTCTTGGATGAAACTTACCTGGACCTACTGAATTCATAACTTCTGACTTTAGTAGCTTCTTTTTAACATCCTCCAGAGATACTAGTGGATTAGAAATAGTATTATTACCAGCCTGAGACAATATCATCTTTTCCCAAAATAGAACAGAAATATTTATTGCACACTTCTCCCTTTTTCTGAATTAATATTGCCAGTCTTACCATTAGTGGGCTGATACCATCGTCAAAAATATTTTAATGCCTAATATATTTAATAAAAAATTATTTTCTTTATGTCTGACCAGAGATTGCTCCCTGTCAATTTTTCTGCAATTCCCAACTTTTAATTTGCATTCATTACTATCAGCGTCTCCTTTCTTAAGTTTATTTTTTAAACTGCCCCCTTAACTTCTCTGCTAAACCACATTGTTTTTTTTCAACCATCACATGCTTCTTCCTTAACTGTGGGATTCTGCCTTTTGGGGGATCTAGTGAGTTGTCTTTAAATCATTTGTATTTTTTCTGTACAAAATTCTCTCACCCAGATGATTTGGTTCAATTGTTTTCAGCTTTATGAAAACGACCCTATTAAAGCACCAAGTGGAGGTATATAAACCTGGTCTGGACTTTATTCCACTTGCATGTAATAAGTTTGGTTGATGTGCTAAAGCAGAAATGCAATACTGTATCTGTAGCCCGGCTCATCTGAGGCACTACAGGTGGACAAAATATGGCCCACAGTCTGGATTAGCAGAGTGTTCCTACAGAATGTGTTCAGCTGCCCCTCACCCCCCACCTTCTTCTGTCCTGCAGCCAAGCTGCTCCCGGGACCCTTCTACTAGCTGCACAGAGGGGGTGGAGGGGAGTGCCAAAGTCAGCGTGTACCCCATACTCCTATACCTCAGGTATTGGGGAGAGGGACACACACACTGGAGTTGCTTCAGTCTGAAGTATGGTGACTAAGATGAGTTTCGTTTTAAGAGGCAGTACAGTGTTTCTAATATTCCTCCAGCAGCTAGCTCTTTCTTTCTTCTCTAGCTCCACTCCTGCCCCTTCCACCTGAGACCCCACCTCTTCTAGAGGCCTTGAGCCAGCCCCTGATGACTTACCAAAATTCATGGAGTGGTCCCCCCTGCAAAAATTATTGCCCACCTCTGAGGCAATAATGCACTTATTAACTGGTATCTTTGTTCCTTTGTCCCTGTTCTCAAATAAAAATGAATACAGATGTAATTCTGTCATGTTTTTTTCTGCTCACCTGCAGTCTCCATTCACATTCTTTTTATGGTACTTTAGTCAATAGCTTTTAACAGCTAAACATAAAAGCCACTGGGAGCATAAACAGGAAACTTGTGTTTAGGTGGGAGTTCCTAGGAATTTTATACTACTGACCGCAGAGGCCATGGGAGAAAGGAAATAGGAAAAACACTGTAAATGCCTGGGTGACTAATGACTTCATGTTTCTCATCTGGTTTTTTAGAATATGAAACATTCAATTTCTTCCAGGGAAAACACCACAAAAGACAGCAAGATTTTTTTCAAGACATTACTTGCTATGCCACTGTGGGAATAGAACAAATGAAATAAACACCACATTTTATTAAAAGAATATCTTGTTTCTGTAAGGTTGTAACGTGAAATGGTCAAATAAACCTACAATAAATCTTCACCTATAGTCTGTGTTACTTCCCAACCTCCAGAGAAGCAAGAGTGAATGCTCACCCTTTGCAGTCACACTAAGAGGATTTAGATGAAAGTAACCAAATTTGCACTCTCCTGCCTTTGCTACTGAACCAGCAGCTGGAGTGTGAGAGCAGTGTATCCCTTTGTAAGGAGTTTTAGCGTTGGCTCCCTAAAGAATTCCAATTGTTATCGGAGGCGCCCTCAGAGGGACTTCTTTTTTTGTTAGGAGCATGACTTAGAAGAGGTTTTGTCCCTTGCTGATTGCAGCAGTTTTTGCTGATCTGCATCTCACATGCAATGGAGGGGGGGGCAGGATTTCAAAGTCGGCCATCTGTACAGATGAGATTGGCAGTCTGGGGTAGTTTAGTGTCTTGATGATTCCTCTCTGAACACCAGACTGTAACTAAACTGAGACATCTGGTCACCTTCATTTAGAACGTGGGTCTAATTTCATTAGAAAGCTTAGGCAGCTTTCTCATATTAAAATTCTAAATTAGCAAAGTAAGGCTAAAAGTACATAGTGTTTTTAGAGTCTCACATTTTGGGAGTGGGAGATGCACATTCCTAGGGGAAGGCATTGAACACTTAACAGTGGACAGGAGGGGGTAGCCTGTGGAGTTAATCTCTCTAAACTGTTTTCTGACAGAGGAGATAGACAAAGGGTGATAGAGCCAGACCCTTTCTCACACAGAAAAGGGAACTACTTCCACTGGAATGCACTGCTTTAAAGTAGCCAGAAAGCCTACTACAGAAGCAATAAAAGAATGTTACTTGCCTGTGGTTGACAGTACTGCTTCTGTGGTGCTTTTAGCTCCTGCAGGTCTAGGGAGTGAGCAGCCAGGGCAGGATGGAACTCAGACTGCTGAAATCCTCACATGAAGCAAAGCAGCTGGGCCTGCAGCTTATTTAGTTCTTCATATGTTTGGCTGTGGTGACATCTGGGTCTACTCCTAGCTATAGAATAAAAATTAGTGGACTGTCACATGTTGCAGTTTATGTAAATTATTCTCCTAGGTAACTTTAATTTGTGCAGAGCAACTAGACTAGAGTTAAAATAAAGCTTAAAGCTATTCAGCTATTGAAGTAACAGATCTAACTTTGAGAGTTATAATAATAATGTGCTCAGCCTGTTAGAGCCAATAAAGAACCATGACGTCAGCCCTTATTCAGCAAACACTTAAGTACATGCATAAGTCCCATTGAAGACAAGCATTTTGCTGAATAGGAATGTGATTACAGACATGCTTAAAGTAAAGGACACGTTCAAGTGCTTTTCTGAATCAGGGCCAACGTCTATACCCCAAGCATCTTACAGTCTAATTATAGAGGTGATACAGTGAATGAATACCATTTAATAAGGGAGCTGCAGATGAGAAGAGTAACAAATATCACATGGGTGCTCATCTGTAGTCTATGCACATGCTGCAGTCTTTCCACCAATATAAAAACAGACCTCATTTTATTGTAATATATCTTGCTTTGCCCACAAAGTTTAAAAATAAATACAGAAAATTGGTGACGTAGACACAGTAAAAAGAATCCTCTGATTAAACTTTTAGTGTTGGCAGAAAGAGTCAAATTGATGAAGTTCTTTTCCCCAGAGAACACATACAGCACAGGGCTGGAAGTATAAGTTGTCCCATGGTGTGCTTCAAGTCTGACCTGAAGGAATGATTCAGACCCTGATTCAGCAAGATATAGTAGCACGTGAAAGCAGACTCATTGAAGTCAACCTGGAACACTAATGCTCAAAGGAAGGAATATGCTAAAATATCTTGCTGAGGGCTCAGTCGCTGGCCTCTTCCACTGCTAAGGAACATGCCAAGTGCACTCCTGTGTGATAGAGGCACACATCCACTGGGAATCATGTTGTGGTATAAACTCCTTTCATATGGATCGCTAACAGACAAGCAGATGATAATTTCTGGTTGCTGTTGTCCCTGGCCAAATAGGAACTGGCGACCTAAAAATGAAAGATGGTGACTTCAATGTCAAAATGCCCATTGACTTTGAGGGGCTCAGAATTTCACCCTTTGTTTGTATCCTGGCAGCCAGCCTATATAGTGTTACCTGGAGCAAAGCAATGGGTTTCCACCCACTCCACTCCAACCCTCAGAGCAGCGCTCCCACGGCAATTTAAAGGGACCCGGGGCTGGTGACTGGCCTGGCTGATGTTTGTAGGTAGCTGATGCCCTGTGGAAAAAGCAGAGTCCTTCCCTTGCATTATAGTCAATAGCCCAGTGGTTCAGGCCTAGGGTACAAGAGACCAGAATTTAAATCCTCAGTTTGCCTGATGTGGAGCAAAGACTTGAACCTGATTTTGCTACATCCTTGCCAAGTACTCTAGCCACAAGCACATAGAGTCAATCTGACTCACAGCCACTGAATATTTAGCTATTTTCCCCACATGTGCCAGTTTCCACTCCCACCCCATGTAAACATGTACCCTCTGAAAATTTCAGCCAGATACACCTTCACACAAATACACATTTTAACATCCCTAACTGATACTTCATATTGGGCTGCATCCCATGCCTTCTCTGAATCTAACAAAAAGGACAAAACCAGTATGCATACTCCCTTGAAGTACTCAAGCTGTAGCCTGAATATACTATGATTCAGTGAAGATAACTACGTTTTTCATATTAGGAGAGATTATAACAGTCAACAAAACTAACTCTTGACTGCTATGAAATGGGTTTTGACTCTAACGTTAGAGCCAAAAGACACAAGTCCTTGGGTCAATCCAGAATGAGTTTTTATAGCCAAGATATAAACCCCTAACACTAGGGCTGCGTCTAGACTGGCATGATATTCTGCAAATGCTTTTAATGGAAAAAAATGCTTTTTTGCAACTGCTTTTGCGGAAAAACTTGCCAGTCTAGACACAGCCAATAGGTCCACCAGGAGAGAGAAGGAATAGACTGCCCCCTTTGTTTGTTTTTTTTCCCTCCACTCCTCTGCCTCCTTTGTGTCCCTCAGCAGGGCTGGGCCGTTATGCCCATGTTCTCCTAGATGTCAACGGATAGATCTCCTTCCTCAAGTGTAAGCCAGAGGCAGCAGCTCTGCCAAGGGTGGGTAGAGTTGGTGGTGCTAGAAATAGGGAAAGGTTGAGGAACCCAGGCCTGTGCATTCCCAGGGGTTCTGACATAGGGGCCCTCTTTATGAGATCATCTCTTACATGAGATCATCAGCGCTTTTCCATAAATTCAAGCGGCCAGTGTAGACAGCTGGCAAGTTTTTCCCGGAAAAGCGGCTGATTTTCCGGAAAAACTGGCCAGTCTAGACACAGCCATACAGTAACAATAGGTAGATCAAACAGGCCAGGTGGGGATGGAAGCAGACAGGCACACATGTATGATGGTTCCACTTACAGAAAATAGGAGGAGGAGCTGATGCACATCTCTTACCCCAAGGACCTG